GAGGGAGGGGGGTGCGGGAAGCTTTTCCCTATACTTTTAAAAGTTTGCTTAGGAGAACTTGATGGGCTTCCAGTTCCAGGGAACGGCCATTTTTCAGGCAATCTGCAGGCCAGCGGGCTGTCCCATCCCTCTCACTGGGGCACGAGCCCGAGGATGGCCCTGGTCACTCCGGGCCCAGCTCCTCCGCGCCACCACCAGGGCCTCTGCGCTGAGCCATGCAGGCCCCCGCAGGCTGGCAACAGTGAATGCTTTCCCCTAAGGGCCTCACTGGCCCTGTGGTTTTGTTTCTGCTCACGATGGTTTTTGAGGGGGAAGAAAGCAGATGAAAGTGGCAATTTGGTGCCGGAGTTGCCCAAAATAATCTCTCCTAAACCGACTGACGGGCTTTCCCAGGGCAGGCGGGCTGGGCCCAGAGAGGTCTGGCTCCCTTCCTCTGCTCGTCTGTCTGCCCTCACCCGGCACCCTGGGTGCCCCCGCTCTGGGCCCCCGCACACACAGACAGCTCCTGCCTGCCTGCAAAGTGCTGCCCCGGCCCCGCGCATCCGCACAGGAGCCCGCAGGGCAGATGGAATTCCCCAGCCCCAATTCCACTCAGGATTCGTCCTGAGCCTGGCACACAGCTAGCAAGAGGCAGAGCTGGAACCCAGGGCTCGCTGAGGCCAGCCCAGATGCGCCTCTGTGTCCTCCCCTGCCATCCTCGGTGGCCCAGCACAGAGCCATGGATGCAGCAGGAGCTCAAGAGCTGTTTGGTGAATGGACAGAGCCATCCATCCATCAGAGCTTGGCCGGCTCACACCAGCTCTGCCCGGCAGGAGCTGGCACGGACGCCCTGCCGCCATTTGCCTCCCTGGCCTCCACTGGGCCATCTACAAAATGGGGTAATAACGGGTGTTCAGGGTGCTGTGGGGCTTCAGTGAGATGGCACACGTGTGGCACCTGGCCCCAGATCACGTGACCCTCACCATCCCCTTCATGACGAGAGGATGTGGGGAGCCGGAAGTGGATGTTCTGCACTGTCCCGGCCCCAGACAGGGCCCACATGCGGCTGTTTACACTTAAGCTTAAGTTCATTAAAGTCAAATAAAGTCCACTTGGGACCTCAGTTGCACTAGCCACATTCCTAGACCTCAGTGGCCACGTGGGACTAGTGGCCACAGTCTGGGACAGCACAGAGCAGAGAGCTCTCTTCGCTGGGCTGCCATGGACGATGCTAGGGCCCTGGAGGGTTGGCGCTCACAAGGGCCTTTTCTTTTCTCTGGAAGGCCCAGCCTGGGGTGCACCAGGGCCTCGGGGGCAGAAAGCCAGGGAGAGGCGGGGGGTCCAGCCCCACGCAGGGCTTTCGCCGCCCCTCCCCACAGCACGGCGGCCAAGGGCCTCCAGAACCGCCTTGCACACCTCCACGTGAGTGGCTCACAGCCACCAGGGCTGTCCCCTCCCCCCCCCCGCTGGCTGGCCCACATGAGAAACCACAGCGCGTCTCTCTGCAGCCCCTCCCACTGCCCCCTGAGCCCGTGGGGCCTGAGGACCCCACTCTGAGGGGTCTGGTAGGCCTCTGCTGGGCGGCCTAATGGGGGGACATGCCATCCTCAGAGCAGATCGGGGCACAGCCAGTGCAGCGCAGTTCTCTGGAGGGGACCAGCCGTGCTCTTACGGCTGTGCATCCCCAGCTGGGCACCTGCACTGGAGGCCTCCTCAGGGGGTCTCGGCTGAGGCCCCATCCCACTCTGACTCGGCTGTCCTGTTCGACCCCCGGGACCCCAGAGCCCCCTACCTCGCAGCGCCTCCAGGGGGTCGTAGCAGCCGTCCTCCTCGGACGCGAAGTAGTGGCCACAGTCGAGGAAGTAGGGCCAGGCCATGTCAATGGCGTCGAAGGCAGGCAGGCAGGCCTCCCGCAGCGCCTCACACATGCGCCGGCAGGGCCTGCGCACCCGGCCGCCCTCGCAGCGCGGCGCCAGCACGGCGCAGCCCAGCAGCCGCAGGTCGGGGTTGCACTGGCCCTCGAGCAGGTGGTGCAGCACGCTCAGCAGGATGTACTCGGAGCTGGACTCCACCGCCTCCCGGGACCGGTGCTCCAGCAGCGTGGGGAAGGCCGTCCGGTTGTAGGTGGCGTCACTGCAGGTCCTGAGCTGCAGGTCCACGCATGTGGCTGGGGGCAGGCAGGGGTCACCAGGTCAACCCCCGCCACGATGGCCCACGTGGTTATCGTCAGACACTTCCTAAGAGCCTGCTCCGCCCAAGCAGACCCACCCAGGACCAGGGCCCAGAGGGGTGGGGCACCCACAGCCTGGCAGGGAGAGGACCCGCACAAGGGCTGCTTGGAGGAAACCAGGGCCTGTGGGAGGACCAGAGAAGGCTCTGAGTTCTGCCTGGGCTCAGCTGCTCACTAGTGAGTGAGCCGGGGCTGGCTGTTCTGGGCCTCAGCTTCCATATCTGCAAAATGGGCACAGGAGAGCCAGGCTTGCCGAGGGCTTACCACATTAGGGTGCACGGAAGAGGCCAGCGGAGTCTGGGTTTGGCAGAAGCAGGTGTGAACCCTCCCAAAGACACAGCCCCAAGAAAACAGGTCCCAAATATAGACCCAGCTGGGAGGCCTCGTGTCTCTGGGAAAGCGGCTGATCCCCATTTGGTTAACCTGAGCTCAGGGCCTCGAGGAGAAGGCCGGGCGAAGACAGCTGCGGCTTGGCCAGGCCGGCCTCGGTTCTGCACCTCGCAAGATGTTTTAAGTACAGAGAGGAGGCAGGGTCTTCGCTGTCACTGGGTGTTTTTACACATGATCATTATTGCTATCTTTCCAGCCCAGGAGCGGACATCCTGCCCAGTGTGGCTGGGCTCCCATGGTCCCATCCCCTGAGGCCCTCGTCTGCCACGCGGCCGGCCCTCCAGACCCCGCCGCTGTAGAGCTGTGTGCCTGCAGCCGCTGCCCGCGCACTCCCATCCCCGTCCCCTCTGTCCTCAGCTGGACCTTGCACAGGCAGCCTCTCACAGCACGAGTCACGAGATTCTGCTGCTTCTCCACGTGAAAGTTTAGAAAAGACAGGGTTTCTTCTGCTCAGCATTTCTCCACTCAAAGATTTTATATGTCACCGACTTTTGTACTGGGAAAACATTTTCCTGCTTAAAAAAAAAAATCTAGTCCCTTCCCTTAGAATATACCAGATACCCATGTCTGGCAGGAGAGACTTGAAGAAATGTCTGCTTCTGAGCCTTTAGATACAGCAGACCCACAAAATCTTCAAAACCGTCCCATGAAACCCATGTTCCCCTCCTTGTTGACGAAGGACGACATCAGGGCCCAGAGAGGGAGGGGGCTCACCCAGCCCACTCAGCAGGTGCCGCAGGACGCTGAGAGCCAGGGACGGCACGGGATAGAGAGCGAGCGCACACTCCAGGGTCAGACTGCAGCCCTTGTGGAGCGCACCTCATGGGGCAGCAAGGGGAGGAATGGAAGGAACGTCTCCGCGGGAGCCCGGGGGCAGGGCCAGGGCTGGGAGCCCTTGCTGCACAGAGGGAAGGGCCTGGCTTTTCCGTTTTGTCTAACCTCTAGCTGTTTAAGAAGGGGTTTGCATTTGGTTGATGGGCCATGTTATCGATCCCACTTCGGAACCAGGCATTCAGCTCTCTAAAACGCTTCGATAGCACGGAGGGTCTGCATCACTCCCACAAAACAGAAGCGCGGGAGGTCCACGCACGTACCGCTGTCTGCAGCTGAGGGCCTGTGGCATCCGCCTGGGAAGAGAGAGGACAGTGCTGTTAGACGCAGACCCCTGCCGTCAGTCATCCTCTAAACTGTGTTCCACAGGCGCTGCTCTTTCCGACAGCAGCCCATCACTTACTGAGCGCTCGCGGGCACCCCGCCCCGGGCCTGCCCGCCACGAGCTCTGTCTCATTTGGTCCTCCCAGCAGTCCGCTGACGGCCATGTGACCGTCCTCCTCCTCTCACGCGGGGGGAGGCCGGGGCTCAGGGAGGTCACAGGACCTGCCTAGGGAAAGGCAGCCAGAGAGTGGGTGGGTTCCACAGAATCTATCGGGCCCCAAAGGCTGGGACCGCCCCCCAGTGTGCTGGCAAACCTGCTGGCCAGGATGAAACGCCCTGTTCTGGAGAGCTGGCCGATGGCCGTGGTGTAAACACTTCCACCGTGGCCACTTTCAAGCTTCCAGCAGTTGAGCAACTAGTGCTCACAAAGTTCCTGAATATTTGACAAGCAGCCCTCGCAGCATGTGCCAGGGGCTCTGCCCCACCACGGACTCTGAGCCCACGTTATTCCGAGTCCCCCCAGAGTTAGGCAGGCATGGTCCCCTGCCCTCCAGAACACTCTGCAGGCTGGTGCCCCGTTCCCTGAGTTGGGGACCCTCTTCCTGGAGAAGGGGACCAACCCACAAAACTCTCCATGCGAGTGTGGGTTTCCAGGGCCCTCCTCGAGGCCCGGGCACGTGGGCCCACAGTGCAACCCCTGGGAAAGCCAGTAAGGCACCCTCAAGCAATGCCACCCGTCCAGTCCCCACCAGAAGGAGGTCCGTGTGCTCTGTGAGCGCCAAGGGGAAGGAGTGGGTCCGAGAGATGGGAATGGGCGGCTCATTTAGAGCTCAGCTGGCCCTGCAGGAGTCCCAGGAGGGGAGGACAGGCTGGGTGGCAGGAACAGTGGGAAAGAAGAAAAGGGAGAGACGGGGAGGGCCCAGGAGGAAGGTTAGGACCCGAAGGAAGAGGCCCGAGTTCTATTCGGTAACCTCATCCGGAACCCAGGCCTGAGCCAGGAGTCTGGGAGGATAGGAGCCATGCATGGGATTCACCAGAAGACGTGGGGCCGCAAAAGCTTCCTGAGCACATGGGAGCCCCCAGGGGAAGAGACGCAGGAGGGGGCTCTGGTCCTGATGGGCTGGCCAGGTGGCTCCTCCCTCAGGAACCTCCGGACAGGGCAGCCGCAGGCCTTGGCGCCTATGTGCCAGCTCCCACAGCTCTCGTGGGACAGAGATGTTCACAGCACCCTCTCCCCAGCGGACGCTCGAGCGACAACATGTTTCCACCCTCACGGTGGGTGACAAAAGGAGACCCACAGAAACGCCTGGATGATACGCAACTGGGTGTGTGCACACAGCCTGAGGGACACGCCGGCTGCCCCGGGATCGCTCTCCCTTCTCGTCCAAACAGTATGGTAAGAGAACACTGTGTTCCCACGGGGACAGCGAGGGGCAGGCACGATGCCCAGGGCCGGAGCTAGACAGCCCTTGGTCCAGCCCGGCCCGTCACAACAGAGAGCCCTGGAGTCGCTCTTTTCTGCCTCTGTTTCCCCATTCTACACGGGTTCGTTATAGTCACTAGGTGGGAAGGACGTGAGGGTTCTACAAGACAACCCACTTTTCCGTGTCCAGCACAGGACCCTGCTCAGGCAGATGTCCCGCGAATAACAGCGTGTGTCCTACGGTCCCTGTTTTATGACTCCCCGGAGACAACAAGCCCAGGATTCCAGGCATCCTAACCGGCTGGCACCCTTTGGGCAAAGCAACAAGGGGGAGAATCATTTCCCTAAAGTGTCTGTGTACGGGACAGCCAGCCCTGACACCACAGAGAGGGCGGCAGCGGGCCCGGCCCCGTGCCCTCTGATGCCCCACAGTGTGCGTGGAGACAGGCACAGGCTGGCAGTGAGCGAGCTCGAGGACAGCCAGCGGCCGCCCAAGCAGCATGTGCCACTGCCCCCTTCAGCACCTGGGCGGGGGGCCTTCTGAGCACTTGAGCCCACACCGTCGACGACTCCCAAGCCTTTATAGTCAGAAGTGCTCCCTGTCTTGTGTCCACCGCCCTCCGGGGAATGAGAGAGGAAAAAAGGAAAGAACGAGAACTGGCCTGGGACTCTGCTTGGAACACCGTGCTGTCATCTGCTTTGTGTCGTTAAAGACAACTGGCTAATGTCAAAGAGAACAGAGAAGAGGCTCAAATCCAAGCAGAGCCCGTGTGAGCATCCGTGTCCAACGGTCACCGTGTGGCACTGGCTCACACTCGGAGCTCACACTCAGCCGACTCGCGGTCACAGTCCTGTGAGCTTGGACCGAGGCAGACGCCGACAAAGACAGCCAGCTCAGGAGCCCGAGGCCTCATCAGGTGGATGGTGTCACCTAATGCGCCCGGCTCCCCTCTGTGTGCATGCACCACCCCCGCACCATGCTCTGAGCGTGTGCCTGCTGTGCGCACTGAGCTGAGTGGGGATTCTGAGGACTCGTCCAGACTCTCAGCAGAGAGGCAGTGAGCAGAGCTCCCCCTGACCCTGGAGTGAGAAACCAGGAGCAAGGCAGGTATCCCGCATCCACGCCCCCAAAGCCATCAGATGCCACACGAGTGCCTGGGTTTATGGGTTTGTGTGGATTTGACAAGCGGATGCCCCCTGGTCTCACGTGGCTTCGCCTCCTCATTTACGGATGAGAAGACTATTCTGCTCACTGTTGGTGGAGGAGCCGGCAAGGTACGAGGAGCAGGGGCTGGCCCAGCAAGGACTCAGCAAACAGGGGCTCCGGGTCGCACAGGGAGAAGGAGGGACGGCCACTGTGACCCCCCCCCAGACCCCCATGCACCGTATGGTGGACCAGGGTGCGGCGTCTGCTGACTGGGCCCCAACTGCTGCCAGAGTGGTCACCAGGAGCAAAACAGAGAGACAGGTGGACCCGCTTCCTGGGGCTCCATCACAAAGTGCCACCTCTCGGCACAACAGACACTGACTCTCCCACAGTTCTGAGGCTGGAAGACGGAAGTCAAGGTGCCAGTATCCGGGGAGGATCCCTCCTGCCTCTCCCAGCTTCCGGGCTCCCAGCAATCCTCGGCTGGGGCCACGTCACCCACTCTCTGCCTCTGTCACATCCTTCTGGTGTGTCTGTGTCCAAATTTCCGTCTTCTTCTAAGGACGCCAGTCCCTGGATGCAGGGCCCACCCCGAGCCAGTACGACCTCATCTTAATCTGACTTTGTCTACAGAGGTCTTGTTTCCCAATCAAGTCACCGTCAGGGGCCAGGGGCTGGGACTTCAACACATCCTCTGGGGGACACAATTCAACCCATAACAACAGGCAAGTCCCAGAGTGTGACTTCAGGGAGCTCAGGGGCCGGAGTGGGGGTAAGTCAAGAGAGGAAGCGGCTATTCCGGCCACACCAGCCAGTGTGGCAGCCACCTGCCACGTGTGGCTACTGAAAGGCAGCGAGTCCAAACTGACAAAGGCTGTAGGTGTGAAAGACTCAGCAAATTTCTGACGGAACTAAAAAGAGAATGTAAAATAGTTCATTCATAATTTTTAGGTTGATGACAAATACTAAAACAATAATTTGGAGATATTGGGTTAAATAAAATGTCTTATTAAAGTTAATCCCACCTGTTTCTTCTTACCTCCTTAGCATGGCTACTAGGAAATGTAAAATGGTCTGTGCGGCCGGCATCTCTGTCGGCCAGCGCTGGTCCAAGGCTGCTCTTTAGCGGGCCACTTGAGACCATTACACCTCTTGACCACGAGGTGTCAGCACATCTTCGACTGAGGGACGGAGACTGGCCTGTGGCTGGCGTCTTAAAGACCAGGATCTGTTGTTGCTCCTGGCCAGGGTCTCCTCTAATAGATGAGAAGCCTGATTGAGGCCAGAGAGGTCAGGCCGTCTGTTCAAGGTCACCCAGCAGAGTAGAGGACTCAGGATTTGAACCCAGACCCACCCGGCCCCTAGGAACATGAAAGTCACGTGAGACCCCGGGTTCCCTATGAAGACCTGGAGTCCTCCGCCAGACAAGGGACAAGGCAGAGGGGACGCAAGGGTCCGGGCTTGCTCTGAGTCTCTGGGACACGTAAGTTGGGGACATGGATATAGTCATTGGCTATAGCAGCCTGGACTCAAACTACCGGGCCTCGCCGACGCCAGTCTGTGGTCTGGAAAGGCACTCAGCTTCCACGGACCACACATGTGAGGAGGGAAGACGGGCCTGGAGGAAGGATTTACACTAGAAACAGTCACTGATGCCACACACAGAGACCCACCCTGCCCACCCCTCCAGGTGAGGAAGGCAGGGCGGCCCGCTTGCCCGAGTCCAGAGGAGGGGGCCGTGTCCTTGACAAGCCGCTGATCCTAGACGTTTCCCATGGTCTCACCAAAGAAGATCCATCCATGACACTGTGCAAGTGCCACCTGCATCCTGCCTGCACACCCACACACACGTGCACGCACACACACGAGTACACACGCGCACACACGCCCTGCCCGCCTGGGCCTTTCTGCACAAAGGGGGAGTAGAGTGGGAGGGAGGGCCAGAGTGGGACAGAAAATCCAGGCTGAGAGAAGAAAAGGGGAAGACCAACGTGGGCACAGCTGAGAGGGGCATTTTGCTCCTGGCACATCCACTTGGTCGACGCCAGCAAGTTCTCAGGTGTCCACCAACCCTGGCACTGGAGAGATTCTGAATCTGGCACGCCCAGACCCCTGTGCCCAAGGGGACCCCCGCCCTCCAGGGGCACAGCTGTCTGCTTCTGCTGAGGACCCTGGGGACAATCTACTGGACGCACCACCTTTAAACAGGAAGGGAAACTGAGGCCCACTCCAGGACAGGAGGTGTGACCAGGACCGGAGCCCAGGACTCCAGGATCCTGGCCTTCTGACACCCCGACACCCCATACTTAAGTGAGATCACACAGGCAGGTGCACGCCCCCCAAGGTCCCTGGGTCCCCCTCACCCAGCCCCACCCCAGAGCCCTCCAGGAGCACCCACTCCCTACCCCAGGGCACCACTTCCTCTCCCAGGGGATGCACCCCCTCCCAGGCCCTCTGCGCCCACTTCCGGAGACATTGTCGTCCACGCCACAGACCCAGTTGGGAGAGAGGGGTCAAGAGTGTGGCAGCCCAGAGACTACCCCCTGCCTGGAAGGACCGGGGACCTTGGACTGCCTGTCACCCTACAAAGTCCTGGCACCTGCTCCCTCCGATCCCACCTGCAGGGTGTCCCCACTAGGAAGGTGCCCCCGCCCACTGTGCCCTGACCCGAGAAGGACCCCTGGGCTTGACACAGTGTCCCTGCACTGCCCCCACGCTGACCGAGCGCTGCGCCCTGGGGTCCCAGCCTCCATGCGCTCAGAGAGCCCACTGCCCCATCCTTGGCAGACCACGAGGTCCAAGGTCACAGGGCGCCCACTTGGGAACGTTCTCTCGGAGCCGTGGGTCACGCAGGGGAAAGTTCCCCGGTTCCCTCCCGGGCGCCGCGATCCCCCCCCAGGACGGGGGTCGGGCCTTACCGGCGGCGTCCCAGGCGGACTCGCACCCGGGCCGGGCGGCGGCGGCGGCCAGGACGGCGAGGAGCAGCAGCGGCGGCGGGGGCGGCATGGTGGGCGGCCGGCGCGGCGGGCGGGCGGGCGCAGTGATGTGGCACTCAGGCCGGGGCGCAGCCGCTCGGCGCCCGCCCCCCGCGAGCGCGGAGTCGGGTTACAGCGCAGCCCAGAAACTGCGCGGGGATGCGGGCGGGCGGGCCAGATCAGCGCGCAGCCCGCTTCCGCCGGCCCAGTGCCCCGCCCCAGGGCGCGCCCCCCTCCGGGCTCAGTTTCTCCACTCCCACTTGAGCCGACTGGAGAGGTGACCGCCAGATCGCCTGCTGATCCTGCCTAAAACTCCTGATTCCCGCACAGGGCTGGGCCGAGGAGGGGTCCCGGCCCCTGCGCTGACCCCGGCTGGCTGTGAGCCAGTCAAGTAATCCTGCTCTGGACCTCGGTGCCACGAGGGGAGTGAGGGAGCATCCCCACCTCCCTGCTCTGTCCCGGGATGTGGACGCACCAGAAGGCTCTGTGGGGAAGTCTCAGCCAGGGCAGGAGGCTCCTCCTGGCCTTGGGAGACTCCCGCCCTGAGCGGGGTCTCCATCTGCTCCCTGGAGAAGCCCCTGCCTGGTTTGCTCCCAGCAGGGCCCAGCAAGGAGCCTGGCACCAGGGGTCCTCAGTGAAATGTGGCAGGCCATTAAATAGACAGTATGTGGTCCAGGTGGTGACACAAAAGGTCATTGGGAGGGTCTCTCTTCCCTTTCCCCCTCCCCCACAGATGAGAGGGCAAAGGCAATGTGGAGGGATCCAGGAGAGCAGGGTGAAGACACCCCCACCTCCCCAGTAACCTGTCTGCACCTGGGGAGTGGGAGAGCCCCTTGCCCCTCGCCTCCCCTCCCCCCGAGCCCGTCCCTGCATCACCTGGAGCCATTCAGGCAGGAGGCCCAAGGGACCTGGAAAGAGGGAGGCCCAGGACCCTCGGCCTCAAGGTGAGGGAAAGGTGGACCCCGGAGCGCCCAGCTCACTGTCTGCCCAGAGCCCCTCTCCTCCCAGGGTCAGGACAGCTTTGGGGGTCAGCCAGTGCCACTGAAGCCCCCCTCCCTGGAGCTGGACAGGCACTGATTCTGCCATCCAGATGTGCGCACATCTTCCTGACAGCCACTCCTCACAGCCGCCAGCTGCGGTCCAGCCAGTGCATACATTGCTGTGCTGCTGCCCTGAGCCGGGGGACAGTGCCAGCTGGACACCAGGGTCCACAGCCCAGCAGTGTCTCCTGAGCCGGGTCCCTCCCCTTCAGGCCGTTGGCCCATCTGTAGGAGCCTTATGCCTTCCGGGGCTTCTTTGACCAGCTGTCCTGGGTAGCGGGGAGCCAGATGCCACTCAGCCCTAAGACTCTGGACAAGCTGCTTAACCCAGAGGCTGGAGTGACAGTGACAGTACCTACGGCTACAGCGGCGGCGTATAGGAGGGGAATGGCATCCATCCACCCCCGGCTCTGAGAAGGAGCCGCTTACCCCGCCTCATCGGCTCCAGCGCCCATTTAAGCACCTCCGGAGTCCAGGGCGTCTGATGCTCCACGCTGCCTTCTGTCCACCTGGGCTGCAGCCTCGGCCTTCCAGAAGCCCCTGGGCCTGCTCCAGCCAGTGTCCTGGAGAACTTGCCTCTGACTTCACCTCTGCAGTTTCCAGCCCATGCTGCGGGGGGGTGAGTGTAGACCCCACACTCCCCGAGTGCGGGCTGGTGGCGCACCTTCTCAGAAGTTCATTTCTTCGTCCTGGGTGAGTCTCCTCGTTGTCCCCTCCTGTGGCAGGTTGAGTCCTCACGGCCCCTGAGCCTGCAGCCCTTAGGTGTCCAGCTTTACACAGCTGTCTCCTGTTACAGCTCTCTTTTCGGGTTTGTTTTTCTTTCTTGAGTGGTACATAAAATGATGATACAGCTTTAAAACAGTGGCATTTTAGATTTGATGAAAAAGGGTCAGTGTAACTAATTCTAAAAATACACGCACCCCCATGTTCATTGCAGCATTATTCACAATAGCCAAGACTTGGACACAACCTAAGTGTCCGTGGACGGATGAATGGATAGAGATGTGGTATATATACACAATGGAATACTACTCAGCCATAAAAAAGGATGAAATCTTGCCATTTACGATAACATGGGTGGAACTTGAGGGCATTATGCTAATGAAATAAGTCAGATGGAGAAAGCCAAATACTGTCTGATTTCACTCATATGTGGAAGATAAACAAACAAACACATAGATATAGAGAACAGAGTGGAAGGGGTGGGGAGGTGAAGGGTAAAGGGCACGTGTGTATGGTGATGGATGGTAATTAGACTATTGGGGTGAGCACGATATAGTCTACTCAGAAGCTGAAATTGAATGATGTACACCTGAAATTTATATAATGTTATAAATCAGTGTTTCCTCAATTTAAAAAAATTTTTTAAAAAGGTCAATGTTAGCTTCTGTTATTTTGAAAGACCCAGTGAGAAGAATTTGGTAATCTCTCTGGGATCAACTTGTTTCCTCCCCAGTCAAGTTGGAAAGAACAGCCTCTCACCCACGGCTCTTTAGCCAGGAGAACCCCACCCACCACGCAGTTCGTCAGGGCAGGTCGCGGGCGGGGTTAGCCTTCCCAGGCGCCGAGGTGTGCAGGTCCCCCATCCCCCAAATCCTGGCCCCAAGCAGCCAGCCCACTGCATAATGGGCCAAGGCGGGCTGGGCAGCACTCGGCCAGGTGAGCCAGCAGATGCACCTGGGTCCTGAAGCTGCAAGAACCTGGATGCCCCACGCCAGGTGCACGAGCCCAGGGTGGCTGCTTACAGAACAAGCTGGCAGTCATGGGGAGAGCACAGACTCTGCCATACCATCCTGGCCACTTCACCAGTCACTGGACCCTCAGCCAGGGGCCAACCTCAGCAAGGGGCTTGAGATGGTGGGCTGGGGGTGGCACAGCAGCCAGGACCCCAGAGGTGGCTGGGAGTCCAGTCCCCAGCCGGGAGCTGACTCCTTGTGCACCCCTCCTTCGGTGCCTGGCTGAAGCATCAAACCTTCTGGGAGCTCCCCCCGTCCCCCACTCTGTCAGGAGCCCCCTCTCCACGCTTCCTCTGGAACAGCACTCAACTCACTGAGCTCACCGTGTTTCCTTCGCCCAGGAGGGCTCTCCAACCACAGGCTCCGTGCCGCCTGCCGGGCACTGGAGAGACGTTCTCACCATACCCAGCCCTTGCCTGGAGCTGCCAACAAGAAGCCGGCAGCCACCTGCTGTGCAGCGGGGAGTGCTTCCTGCCCCGTGGGGTCTCCCGGCCCCCTGAGAGTCAGGTGGGCGTTAAGGACCATCCCCAGAAGAGCTTGCACTGTGCCAGGTGCCACCGGCTCATGCACCGGGACAACATGCGGTTTGCAGGAGCACTGAGGCCCCTCCTCCCCCCGCACACGCGGTACAGGGTCTACTCAGGGTCATCTGGGAAGCCCGACAGGGGATCTGCTTTCCTGGGAATCAGGCCGTTGGCTTCAGGCTGATGCAAAGGCCACATTTTTCCCTTTTGCAGAGAAATGAGAGACGCTTTGACTAAAATGTTTATTTGTTCACAAAGTTCTTGGGACGTGACACCATTTTGCAATGTGTTTAAGTGCACATGACAAGCATCCTTCAAATTAAAAAACGACCACAAGCCCAAGGCAAAAAACAGCACAGTGAGTCAGCTGCATCAGCTGATGGAGAGAATGTTCTAGAAGGCCCAGCATAGATGCAACTAATGGCACTCCCCTGGGAAGCGCCTATGCCTGAGTGGTCTTCTAGAAAATTCTAAGGGGGCTTCGGGGAAGGCAAAATAAGAGAGGAACTGTCACAACCTCTAATGAATGTTGCCTCTTTCCAGCCATGACGTTTTCCGGAGGACAGGGTACACATATTTCCTCGAATGGATTTAAGGCTGTAAGAGCGGCTTTTCCTGTGGCGAGGCTGTGGTAACACGAGGGCCAACGCAGCTGGCTGGCACACTTCCACCATCCCGGAGAGGTTCCCAGGCTGAAGGAGAGTGCCGCCCGCAGGGTCTCGGCCTGGCTCTGGAATTACAGACACAGAGCAGAGCTCTCCTTTGCCACCCCTGCCGGGGTGCGGGGGGCGTGGGTCCTCCAGGTCCAGGTGCCTCTTGCAAAGCAGCGCCTCTCACATCTGCAGCCCATGGCCAAGGGCTGGACTGAGGGCTTTTGTTGTACTGCCTGGGTGGGTTTTTTTTTAACTGCTTCCTGACCACATATCTATAGTTATTATTCCTAAAAATAGTTTGGGTTTTTTTGAATTGCATCTTATAATTTACCAGCACTTAAATACATCCTGCTGAGAAGAGATGTCAGAGAATCAGCCAAAAGCAGCCAAACAACACCCGGTTAGTTGGAACAGAATTTGTCACACTGGCTCCACCAGGCTATGAACTGTCACTAATGCCTTGATGGCCAAAAGGAGCTGACTGTTGTGTGTGTGTCTGGAAGGAAAGAACTCGGGACCCGCCTCACCCTGGACCTTGGGTGGGGGCCAGTGCTGCGGGCTCTGCAGGACCCCATGGGCGAGGCCGTATCAGCGAGTCCATCCTACCACATGGTGGGGCCCCGATCATGCAGCCCACTCCTAGTTCTGAGGGGCCGGCCCAGGGCCTGGAGAGGGAAGAGAGCAATGAAGAACAGGATTGAGGAGGGCCCCGTGCCCATGCACTCATTCACTCACTCACTCCTTCTCCTGGGCCTGCTTAGCTGCTGAGCACCATTCTCTTCCTGGAGTGGAAATATGACAGACGTGCACACGATTCCCAGACATTGTCCCTTGGGTCCATTTGGCAACAAGGACGGTGGGTGGCCTCATCTGGGAGTGGCCCCACTGACCACTAGACTGAAAACGATGCTGCCACTCAAGGGAAGCCCCCTCATTGGCTCCCCCAGGGCGGAGCAGAGGGGCTGCATTAGGGGAGGGAGCCCCCACCCTCCTGGCTGCTGTCCCCCTGCAGACCTGAGCTCTGCCCACTGCCATGACTCTCTTCACTGTCTCAGGATGGTGATCAAGAGACCCACTG